AGTGAAATTTGTATTGCTAAAAATGAAATTGACCTCGATAAATTCTAAGATTTTGCCATTACATTTCTACAAACATCAGCTATTTTTAGGCCAAAAATCAGAATTTTCCCACCACCCGTTCAAGAACGCACAATTTTCGGTCGTAACCAGCGTCAATAGTACAGTTGCGTACTCAGAAATCGAAAAAATCAAGTTGTGTTTTATTTCTTTTCCAGGCCGAGAAAATGGTTTTCAGCCATCAACCCACCATGAATTCATTAAGGTTCTCGAGATAATCGAGCCCAAACCTGTTGTTTTTTTTTGGGCCACCCTGTACAAAACAGACAAAATCGGATTCGAAAGCTTCTCACCCCGTGAAGCTGAGCACGAAGCCGAATCTAAAGTTTGACTCGAGCTCAACCCAGAAGCTCAAGCTCAAGCATACTGATTCGAGGCAGCTTTCGCGTTTCCGAGGTGACGACGATACGATCACAACTCTTTCGGGAAGCTTCAAAGAAAAGAAGAAAGCGTCCTGGCAAAATCAAAGCACCATCAGAGTAAGCACAGCCTGACACTGCCGAGCGATATTGAAATACAGGTAAAACTCGGCTCTTCTAGCGTACGTGAAAGTGGTGGCTTATTTACACCTTCTCTCTCGCTCTCTCGCTCTCTTTCTCTCTGTCTTTCTGTCTATCTCTCTCACGCTCTCTCTCTCTCTCTCTCTCTCTCTCTCTTTCTCTCTATGTCTCTCTCTCTCTCTCTCTCTCTGTCATTGGTAGCCAGTTCCTGATACATAGTAACCTGGACACTAAAGCATAAAAAATCTTTTTTATTTGTCTGTACTTTCAGAGGCTTCTGATGCGGTTTTTCACAATTATCACTTAGAAATCACTTACCAAAAAACCTAACCCCAATTTTTAGACAGACGGTGTCATTACGCGACAACAAACCAAGGAAACGGTACAGGAATTCCTCAACAATGTGAAAAATAACGAAGAGTTCCCGACCGTTTGTGGGTTTTACCAAGCCTTCGAAATCCTCAACCTAAAACTTGGTAAATTCTCTGCCAAAAACGCTATTTTGCAGACGAGAAAACGTTCGCCCAGATGCGACGGTTGAGCGCGAAACAGCGGCGAATTCTGAAGGCAACATTTGCCGAGCTGGAGGCTGATGGCGTCAAATACATCTTGAGGGTCTTCGTTTTGTAGGTTTTTACAAGGGCATCTGAAACATTCAGATTTATTTCCAATCCAATCCAATTTAGGCTCTTTTCCGAGCACCCGGGCTACAAGCAAATTTGGCCCCAGTTCCGGCAGATTCCAGATTCCGCGCTGATCAATGCGATCGAGTTGAAAAGAAAGAGACAGAATCCATTTGTCGTTTACATAATGTGATGGCAGTTCGACAGTAAAACTACTTTTCCCCTCTATTTTTACCTTGATTTTGAAGACTTCTTATTGCTGGAACACCTCAAAATTATCTTTCTACGAAATTTCGGGCCTAGCTGATCGGGGGGAAAATGCCATCCTAACTCTAAGTAATCGGATAGCTGGTAATAAAGGATAGTTTTTGGACAATACCTTACTTCTGAAAGCACTGCGAAGCTTCTGAAATCTGGAAAATGCAATCAACTATAATCTCTCTAAAGCTAAAAAGAGTCTTTTTGAAAAGGGGCTTTTGGTTTTCGCAAAAAGAGACGAATTCTCGTGGCAACAAAAAGTGCTAAATTCCTTTCAAACTCTGAAAAATGCCATAAAATGCGCGATCAACAAAAAGTTGCTGGCTATTTAAAATCGTGTTAAACCTGGCACTGTCCCAGATATGTAAATTTTTACGACGAAAGCTGGTAGATAACAGATAATCTGGAGATTACTTTCAAGAAGGTGAAAATACACCATAATACAGGAACTATTTATTAGTAGGCCGAACGGCTAAAAACTAGAGCTGCCGGTTTTAATAAGGTACCAGCAACTTTTGGTTGATCCCACATTTTATGGCATTTTTCAGAGTTTGAAAGGAATTTAGCACTTTTTGTTGCCACGAGAATTCGTCTCTTTTTGCGAAAACCAAAAGCCCCTTTTCAAAAAGACTCTTTTTAGCTTTAGAGAGAATTTAGCCCTTTTTGCCACAATCTTGTTGTTAAAATCGTAAAATAAGCCACGGTATAATTTATTCAGATGGACCCTTGTACCCAATACTTAAAAAAAATTTGCCTGCGGCGCTTTGGATCGGCAGTAGAAACCATAGGGCTGCATTCGGGCCAATCGGCAAAATTGATGTTGCGGGTGGGGTTCGAACCCGCGAGCCAAATCTTCCCAGTACAGCGTGCTAACCACTAGGCCAACCGGGAGACTGGAGACCTGTCTTGGGGGGAGCTAGACCCGTCCCCCTTGCGGGGACTGGAGGCCGAGAAAGGGGAGGGTGGTGCCCCGTATGGCGAAGGTTTTAAAGTTATAATAACTCCAAGGAGAAGGATTCTTTCCACGCAATGTCTACTTTACTTTATCCGACAAGGTCTAATGCATATTTGAGCAAAATTTCAGCCCAAACGGACATCACTAACCCTTGTTTTGGCCGCAATTTAGCTTTTAAACTTAAAAATTCAATAAAATTTTTTTAAAAGCCTATTTTCAAAAAAACGCTTCTTCCAAAAGGGGTTAGCGGGCTACGCCCGCTAACCCCGATAATTTTCTTGAGGCGTCAGTGTGTGTGTCAGGTCGAGAATTCAACTCGAAGTGGAAAGGAGTTAGGGCTTAGGTTTCTTCCGATTCGGATAGAGAGTGGCCAGAAACCCCGAAACTGATAAAAAATTATAAAAAAGTTTTGGTTTAAATACTTAAAATTAGCTTTGAAAGTTTTTTCCTTAGTAAAAGGGGTGGGGGACGGAGGTTGGCATGATTTTGGACATAGTGAGCCAGGCGGCGCGCGTTTCGGCGAGGGGGGAACGCACAGGGGGGTGGCCCGAAGTCCAGCCGCGTGCAATTTTTTACACAATTTTAAAACAAGTTTTGGGGCGTAAAAACGGCATCCATCGGCTGGATAACCGAAACGGGTAATCATGGCTAGGATTTCGTATGATACCTGATTCACAAATCCTCTTGAAGCTGTACGATACTGAAAGACGCGATTTTGCACAGAAACTCAGCTACTAAAAAAATTTTTAGTCGAGTGGATCTTATCAGAGAAGTCGGCCATGCAACCGAATTGCTGTTAACAAGGGTTCGTTTTTCAACGTATGCCTTACTTTTTAAAACACTTTGGAGTTCAAAACCACATAAAAATCCATTTTTGCAGCGAGTTCAGCCCATAAAACGGTTTTGCCTAACCTTGAGATCTAGCTGTCACTCCTCAAATTCCCCCAGATTTCCCTCAATTTTTTTTGCCGAATTTGGCGCGTTCCCGGGTCCCGGAAGACTTTGTATATGCGGCGGCGGGGGCTATATCGAAGATTTTGCGCTCAAAATGCTTCCGCGTCGATGTTGTACATGTAGGTTTTTACATTTTCTTCGATTAATGTCTTTTTTTAGTTTCTCGAGCATCCATGGTACATGTCGATGGAGCTGGATGACAGCCTTTTCTACCAGGAGACACCGGTAAGGTGTTTTTATTTATTTCAGACACTTTACGAGGCGTTAAATCGAAAAAACTAACTATAATAGCGAAATCCAACGATTATAACAGCTTGTTAGAGTTTAAAGGCGGTTTCCGTCAGTTTTGGAAGGATTGAATGTGCTATTTGCAAGGATTTTTGTTTTTTTTTCAGGCCCCTAGGAAGATAGCGCTTTTCTAAACACGCTGTACCTTTCTAATCCCTTTTTTCAGGTAACCTCCGTGCAAAAAGCGTTGCAAGAACTCAGTCAAAATCTGCTCGCGTCGTGTTGCCCTACGGCTACCGCGAGCACTTCGGCCACTGCGGCGGCAATTTCAACTCCCGCTTCCGCATCTTCCACCGTCGTCTTTTGGAGGTAAGCATGCTCCTAATAAGCTCAATCTTGTATACTACGGCTTCGACTTCGACGACGCCGGCAAGCTGATCAACCTGCTGCTCGACAAAGGGCACGAATCGGATGCGATGGCCGCCGAGGTGCTCGACCAGCTTGAGCCGTGGAAAGTCGAGCGGTACAGGGAGCTCGAGGCGAGGTTGAGCCTGCCAGAGGTATGGCAATATTTTTTTTGTAGCGTCTTTTAAAGGCAATACGAAGCCCAAAATCGAGTTTTCTTGGACTAGGTAAGAACAGCTAAGCGACGAGCCAAAAATCGAGCTAGAAAATATTTTTCATGTGACATGAGGCGTATCACGTAGTTTTCGACACCTAGTTGATCCAGCGAACGTCGTCTCGGTACAGGTACAGGCCAACGCCACGCCAAAAACCGCCACTATAGAACTTTTTGAACATGTCATTTGGCATATCGCGTTGCGTTCGAAACCTAGGAATAGAGCGGGCGATTTTTACGCATTTTTGCGAATAACACATTATACTAATTAACTTGTTAAAACTCCATTAAACTAGCCTTTTCCAGGGCCTCTTCGCCGCGATCACCCCCTCCGAAGCGCACAACACGGTCCAGGATTTCTCGCGTGACCTCGTTGGTGGTTTGCGGGCTGATTGGTCTGAATAAAACCCGTTTTGTTCGTTTCATCGTCCAGCCGGCCACGCAACAGAACCGACTTTTTGGTGCACTAATGAAAATGCACAACAATGTGGGGGCGTGGCCTGGGAAGGCGGAGGACGCGTGGCGGCAGTGGAGAATCAGAGACACAGCTAGTGTTTTTACTGATTTTCGGCTGTTAGAGGCGTTTTTTGGGGGACCAATCAGTCTGAAAAAATTGCTAACTCATTTTCTGTTCTTTCGGGGTACAGAGAAAAACAGTGGGAGATTAATACGGGTATAATGAAAGAGCGAGAGAGAGAGAGAGAGGAGAGAGAGAGAGAGAGAGTGCGTGAAGCTTGAGCTCCAGCTTCGGAAGTACGACCGCTCGTGCCATCCGCAAGTTTTCCACCCAATGGCGTATACAAATTCAGGTCCCCATCCGGGATTGGTATACGAGCGGAAGCGGATGCGGAGAAGCTACGGTTTCTGATCGACCTGCAAGCGATCTTCCGCCCTACGTTGCGCGTCTAGCTACACCTTGACATATGTACATTTAATATTTTTCAAAATCAAGAGTAATCAGTTTAATCGTTCTTTTTAGGCTCAACGCGCTTCCGCTCCTCGCCACGATATCGGAGAGCGGCTTTTTCCGTGCTTTGCCCTCGACTACCATCAGCGCAATTCTGAAGCCTCATCGTCGTCTCAATAATAAACCAAAGTCATCGTCTTCTTGTGAATTGAATTTTAGCTTTTGTGTCATTAGATTTTACGTTTGGTAATTTCTAGAATATTTCGTTGTTAGTTTTGTCTAAAATTTTTTTACCATTGCTTTGCTTTGTACATAATCCACATCTAGTCCCTTGCTCTATTACGTGTTCAAATTTCTGAAAAGCTTATGGTTTGTTACCGGTGACTTTGTTGGTTTGACAAATTTTTCTTTTGGAAGGATACTCGATGATAAATAGTTGTTTCTGGAAACTAAGAAGTTCTGAAAAGAGCACAAGAAGTTGTTGAAGCCAGTCCTACATTATTCGGATCGAAATACTTATCTTCGAAAGCTTATTATATATTTTTGCTTACCTTGCCTTCGTAGCTTACTTTTCCTTTTACCTACCGATTGCTCTGACACCGTATTGGCACAAAAGCGGTCGCGGCGCGGCGGAAAAGCGTATTTTAACCATTTTCACTTGTTTTACAGGGTGTCCCAAAAAAAAGACCCCCCAAAAATTTGGGTTAGAGTGCAGTTTACCCCCAGCCGCAACTTTTCAGCCATTTTCAACTTTCAAAATCTTGTAAAAAATTTTTAGCAATTTTTGCCGCTTTGCCAACTTTCAAAATCTTGTAAAAAATTTTTTAGCAATTTTTGCCGCAAGAAAACAACTTTTGTATAGTAATTCGACCACGGCGAACATTTGAGAATACTCCTTGAATTTATGAGCCGATTTTGCATAATGCCATTTTCTTGCTGGAGCATGGCGCGAACGATTGCGTATGAAGAGTAATAAGAGTGTGAAAACAACTGTTATATCGATCCCAACCACGCCTTATTGTGCATTTTGGCAATCTGCTTCGCGCTAGCCCCGAAACAGAGTTCGATGAGCTTCTAAGTGGTACTTAAGTTTAGATTTGGGCTTGGCTTTAAGTCAGTCCAAAGTCTAAGCGAAGTTCAGGCGCTGAACGATAGTTTCAACCAATCTATCTTGTACTCAGCGGTCTTGCTGATCGTTTTCACGCTGCATGAGCAATCGTTTTCCAAAAGCTCCAGCAAGAAAATGGCATTTTTTGGCAAAATTTATGC